ACTCTTGTAGGGCAGTCTTGTGGGACACTCTTGTGGGACACGGTTGCGGGACACTCTTGTGGGACACTCTATATGGGACACTCTGGTAGGACACTCTTTTGGGTCACTCTTGTAGGAAGCTCTGGCGAACCACTTGAGCGACACGCCGCGTTGACGCCAGCCTGTTTCGCGCTCCCCAGTGGCACGGCGCCACGCAAACGCACTTTCCACCAAGGCCGCGCAAATCCCAATGGCACTGCGACATCACGAACGTCGCGTCGCCACACGGTCTGCCCACACACTAGAAGCAGTCACGCGAGCGTTTCGTACGAGGCTTCCTCCACAAGGCACGCTTCGAGGCTGCAAGACGAGCGTTTCATACGAGACTTTCTCCACAAGTCACGCGTCAAGTCTCCAAAACGAGCGTTTCGTACGAGACTTCCTCCAAAAGTCACACGTCAAGTCTCCAAAACGAGCGTTTCGTTCGAGACTTCCTCCAAAACTCACATGTCAAAGTCTGCAAAACGAGCGTTTCGTACGAGACTTCCTGCACACACGTCACGCAGCCCTGCCAAGCAGTTTTAACACTACCAAAACCCGATCCACCTTTTGAACAAGATGGAGCCCACGAACCCGAATGCAAACACGTTCGAACAGCTACATATGTCCAAATGACACTCTTGTAGGACACTCTTGTGGGACTCTCTTCTGGGACACTCTTGTGGGACACTCTTGTGGGACACTCTTGTAAGAAACTCTTGTGGGTCACTCTTGTAGGACACTCTTGTGGGACACTCTTACAGGACACTCTTGTGGGACACTCTTGCGGGACACTCTTGTAGGACACTCTTGTGGGTCACTCTTGTACAAAGCTCTTGCGGTGCATTTTTTGGGGACACTTTTGTAGGACACTCTTGCGGGACACACTTGTAGGACACTCTTGTGGGACACTCTTGTAGGACACTCTTGTGGGTCTCTCTTACGGGGCGCTCTTGTAGGACACTCTTGTGGGACACTCTTCTGGGACACTCTTGTGGGACACTCTTGTGGGACACTCTTGTAGGAAACTCTTGTGGGTGACTCTTGTGGGACACTCTTGTAGGACACTCTTGTGGGACACTCTTGTGGGACACTCTTGTG